TCACAGTTTTATAAAATGTGGAGACATCTTTTTTTATGATTGATTCCAGTGAAGCTATTTTTGCTGATACGTATGCTGGGAGTGCCCTTCTGATAAATGGCCGATGTGTTTGTAGAGCTGCTTCAGTAGAGCACGCTCCCATGTTGTCTCCAGGTGAGGTGAAACGGGGTTTAACGTCACGTTCAAGATTATTGCACTAATATAGCGATGTGCATGTTACGTATGTGTTTGTGTGTGGCTTCTTGAACATGTCGGGACCATTGACAGCTTTATCTTGCTAGCACAGTTTAACATGGATACCCAACTCAAACACAGAATACTGACTCTGAGTCGACCAGTCCTTGCCATATGCGGGCAGGGTAACAAGTGTCGTCTTTTAACATCTTTTGGTATGATATCACAGACCACTGACCTACACCTCGCTCCGGGCAGACACTCTATCCACTAGACCACGGAGGCGGTCTCGTCACCACCAAGATAAATGGTCAATTTTTATGAAGGAATGTCTGGTGTGACATATGCAAGTGTGTGCACAGATAACGAGTGACCATGACAGTCTAATGGAGATCGATGTGGTATATTTATGCACCAGCTCTAACGACCACAGCCTGTCCCACCTCAGCCCAGCAGCTTGGCATTTAAGAATGCTAATATTTATGTTCTCAGTGGGAGTCAGGCCTGCATAGGTCAGATTTAATAACCGTGATGTTTATTGTGATACATGTCAAGGAATCTCGTAATGTGGGATTACTTTTAAGGAGTTTGTGTTGTAATAAATGTAAATCTGGCTACTGTTGTAGCTTTCTGAAGTTGTAATTAGTATGCAGGGGAGTTAATGAGCAGTGTTTGTACTTGAAGGCTGCACGCCCACCTGTCCCCCACCTGGGACGTTCTGGAAGGTTTGTCATCAGGGTCCTCTCTGTCTCGTTATCGTTCTGTGTTTTAGGGATCTGTCATTTATTATGGGGGCAGTGAGCCAGAGCAGTGAGTGTCACAAGAAACCTTAGGTCTAGGGGAGAGGATATTGATTTATCATCCAAAACTGGCTCCCACAGGAGATATGGCTTGGATGAGATCAAGCTGATATCTACACTGTAGATATCGCTGCAATGAAATTACATCACAATGCTTTACAGACCATTGTGACGTCACTGGTTACCTTGACGTCACAATCAAATGACATCACTAATGGCTCTGCCACTGAAGCTGTTTGCAGTACTTTTTACACTGAAGACACTGCTAATTACTGTCTACAAATTGAAAAAGTTGAAAGAATGATGTTGGATGATAAATAAAATCTCACCCTCGTGTCTTTTGATATCAAATATTTCAACACTCGTTGATAAAAGTGGCAAAAATCCTCGACAAGCCTCGGAATTTTTCCACTTTTATCAACTCGCGTTGATATATTTGATATCAAAAGACACGAGGGTGAGATTCTCTATATAAAAACATACTATTTGGGGGACCTCCGTGTATCAGTGGCTGATGTGTGGATGGGGATTGGAAATGGAATATGAGTGTTGCAGGGGTGGTTCATTACAAAAAATGACAAGCCACGGTTGTGTTTGTTGAGGTGACAGTATGAATCGCTTCCTCAATCAATCACCCTGTAATAAAGTATAACATTAATTATATACTATACATAGAATAGCATTCAAAGATACAGCTGCATATTAATTATACCCTAGTTTGAGCAGTCACATTAATACAGACATGCAACGCATACAGTTACACATCACTAGTTCGTTGTAGATAACTTATATCATATACAATTTACAGAACTTTCAAATAGTAATACTTATATTACATGTCTCTTATCATTACTGAATATATCAGTTACACACTATATAGTTAGAAGAATACTAGTAGCCGTGTGGCATCATAAATATATACTTATTATCTCTAAGAGTAGGAACATATATAAAATGCTAAACTATAACACATCGATATATAGAAATTCATTCATAAGTGAGTGATAAAATAAAGGATTTATACATACCCTGTGGGTTACACCGGGGTGTGTCTATAAACCCACATCATATAGGATTATGGCATTCCTATAAAAAGTAAATATAACATAATTATCATTCTTCATATATTAAGTTTTTGAAAGGCATTCAGAAGTGATGCACATAAGGAAGAGAATATATGGATGTCAACTTCTTTATTATGAGGAACATAGTGTCGGAGTATATGCTTACTCCTTCATAAGGCAGAGAGCATATATATGTACATAGTTGACATCCATTTATTCTCTTCCTTATCTGGTATACATGTTTCTTTTGCTGGTGAGTATAGTTAGGCTCGAACTTTTCAGCCACCACTCAAAGTTGGGAATCCTTGATAAATCCCTGCTAGATACATACTGCAGATGTTGAGACTTAACACTGGCAGGTTGATGGTTTAATTTGACAGGAAATTGTTACATCACGGTCCTCTAATGGATCACAACTGGTTTCAAGTTAGCAAATTAGCTTATCAACATAACCAGATAACAAGTGGATGTTGACACTAATTGATAATTGCTGTTAATATCTATTAATCAATTAATATGCAGTTTATTGTGTTTATAAGCCTGTGAAATTATTAGGCTATAATTTGGGGTGGGGGGTTGGGTGGGGTGGGGGGTTATTTCACATGGTGCCTGTATATTGGTAGGATCATGTGATATGTTTTTCAACAAGGTTAGCTTCTACTAAGTTTGATAGAATTTAGAATAAGTCAAGTGTTGCATAGACACCCATCACTCACTCCATGTCATGTCTCTCATCTCTCTTACTGTTTGGGATGTGCCACTCAATACAGGCTTGTGTGAAACAGCTGTCTTAATACCCCAGGTACGTTTCTGTATACAGGAAGGTACCCCAGCCAACCTCAGAATACAGAAAGGTACCCTAGGATGAGTCTAGTGCTGGGGCGAGTCCAAATTTACTACCCGGGTACCTAAGTACCCAACCCCCTTATTACCTGACCCTACCCGGGTACCCGCCCCCCCATATTTCCCCACCCTACCAGGGTACCCGACCCCCTATTACCTGACCCTACCCGGGTACCCGACCCCCTATTACCTGACCCTACCCGGGTACCCAACCCCCCTATTACCTGACCCTACCTGGGTACCCGACCCCCTATTACCCGACCATACCCGGGTACCCACTGACACCAAGTCTCAAGAGTAGGGAACAAAATGTCTGATTGGTAATTGTTTTACCACAGCCCTGGCTAAAACTATTTACATACATGTATCAAACAATCAGATCATGCGTTCACTGAAGTTGACTGAAGCTTTATCTTTACTCAAACATATACAAGTCAAAAGGAATGTGTGCATCGTGAGAAAGAAATGCGAACATTAGCGACTTGTAGTGTAACCGCTGAGCTATAGTGAGTTTTTGTCATTAAACAACATATCATGTGACTTACCACGGGTCCGGGTAGTCCTGTGGGTACCCGGGTCCTACTCAGGACCACCCGACCCGAGTACCCGAGTACCCAAATACCCGAACCCGTCCCAGCCCTAGGTGGGTCCACTCCACCGCGGGCTGTATTGTGCAATGTACTTAACCAGTTCCTTGAATGCTTATGTATAAGACACTTCCTGGATCCCAAGCTGAGGTAAAATTCAACATGGGAGTACACATTGTATATTTCTCTCTCCGTATTTCCTTTCCATAAATGGATCGGAACTGTCATTCTGTTTTATGAGATGCATTCCAGTGTGCTATGTAATAAATGAGCAAACACAGTGACGTACAGACATTGCTCAAATATTCCAAGATGAACAGCATTATCCAGTATGAACTCGTCATCAGACGAATGAAAACTACAACATGAACTGGTTTTGGTTTCAGGTTGAGGAATATGGACTCGTCTGCCGTTTTGGGTACCGGGTGCTTTTCTGTATTTTGATCTTGGCTATGGTTTATTTCTGTATACTAAATAACCCCTTAAGCCTCACTCACTCTGTTACAGGGCTGTTACAGACTGTTCGGGATGAACTACTCGATACAGGCTGGTGTGAAACTGCTATCATCTCTGACTCACTCACTCACTCACTCACTCACTCACTCACTCACTCTGTTACAGGGCTGTGACAGACTGTTCGGGATGAACTACTCGATACAGGCTGGTGTCAAACTGCTATCATCTCTGACTCACTCACTCACTCACTCACTCACTCACTCACTCACTCACTCACTCACTTACTCTGTTACAGGGCTGTTACAGACTGTTCAGGATGAACTACTCACTACAGGCTGATGTGAAACTGCTATCATCTCTCACTCGCTCACTCACTCACTCACTCACTTACTCACTCACTCACTCACTCTGTTACAGGGCTGTGACAGACTGTTCGGGATGAACTACTCGATACAGGCTGGTGTCAAACTGCTATCATCTCTGACTCACTCACTCACTCACTCACTCACTCACTTACTCTGTTACAGGGCTGTTACAGACTGTTCAGGATGAACTACTCACTACAGGCTGGTGTGAAACTGCTGTCATCTCTCACTCACTCACTCACTCACTCACTCCATCTATGTTACAGGGCTGTTACAGACTGTTCGGGATGGGCTACTTGATACAGGCTGGTGTCAAACTGCTATCATCTCTGACTCGCTTGCTCACTCACTCACTCACTCACTCTGTTACAGGGCTGTTACAGCTGTTCGGGATGAACAACTCGATACAGGCTGGTGTGAAACTGCTGTCATCTCTCACTCACTCACTCACTCACTCACTCACTCCATCTATGTTACAGGGCTGTTACAGACTGTTCGGGATGGGATACTCGATACAGGCTGGTGTGAAACTGCTGTCATCTCTCACTCACTCACTCACTCACCCACTCACTCACTCACTCACTCACTCCATCTATGTTACAGGGCTGTTACAGACTGTTCGGGATGGGATACTCGATACAGGCTGGTGTGAAACTGCTGTCATCTCTCACTCACTCACTCACTCACTCACTCACTCCATCTATGTTACAGGGCTGTTACAGACTGTTCGGGATGGGATACTTGATACAGGCTGGTGTCAAACTGCTGTCATCTCTCACAAGACTCCACAAGCAGCCCCGGCTACTGTTTGATGCTCTGTTCAATAAAGACAACTTCAGACTCGGAGCCTTCCTAGGATCTTTCTCAGGGTTATTTAGGGTAAGTAGATCTATGCCTGCTTGTTTACAAGTAGGTGATAAAATACTTGACAAAAGCATTTCTTGTTCTTGATACCTTCATGTAATAGTGTCTGTGAATAATGCAATCAGTCAAATGCTTATCACTGACAATGATTGGGTGAAAAGTTTCCACAGTAACAACATAGTGTGGATAATATGCCAAGGTGTCTTTGGTCAAAGGGAGATAACTTTTGTCAGAACTCACAACCGAGCCATACAGTTTACAGTTATTACTAGGTCTAACATGTGTTCAAGTCTTGATAGTCAGGATTAACTTTTATTAATTTTTTGCACATTTTTTTTGACAATATTTTTTTTGTCAACAGTAAAAGATATATAGAGGTTATCACGCGAGTGTGTTTGGGGATGGTTAATATCTTGCATTAGGAATAAACATTGTATTAAAGCGAGCCTTGGCGAGGTAAATACATAGTGTTTATACATAATACAGGATATTTACCATCCCCAAACACACAAGCGTGATAACCTCTTTATCATATAATGTCATTCTTTAATTCTGTGCTTTCCCTTGCTCACAAATATTACCAAAACATTGCCAGTTTTCATGGAATGCGCACATTAATATTTATTATATCACAGGCTAAGTGATGTGTCAGTTGGACAGTGACAGTAGCCAATATAGTTCCAACTGAAATATGTTTCTTATGTCTTAGCAACATATACGCAAAACAACAATTGTTTTTACTTGCCTTTCGTGGCAATCCATCGGTCTGTCCGCTAGAGTAACTGCCCTTTGTCAAAGGAAAGCTACTCTAACCCTAGTCTATGAGATATCACGTTCAGTCCTTGTTGACAGTCGGCCTGTCCTGTCAGAACGTCACGAAGTGCAGTCAGATGTACACACAGCGACAAAACAAAACAAGGTCACAATTCAAACATATTTCAGCCAAATACAACTATTTTAATTCATGGAGAAGGTTTCAAGCTGCAGAGGTCGACAAGCACAGATATGGCTACTGATCCCACTTGGCTAGGCCTAGTGCCCTCTCAAAATTGTTTCGAAATTTTTATCTCCAAAGTTGCCAAAACTTATAAAATGCTTAGCTACATCACAGTTAGACACTGATTTTCCGTATATTAGCCTGTTCTTTTGATAATGATAGCAATTATCCCTGTAGTTTATCCAGATTCCCAATGGTTAATTCTGACTCGATCGCCGAAAGACAAGGGCGACGCCATGTTTGTTTATAAACACTGAAAGTAGTCCTATTTTACCTTAGATACTTGCATCTCTATCCCAATATGACCCCAACGGATATCGTTTTTTTCCGTTGGCTTTATCCTACCGATTATATGATAAAAATATTTATCAGGATTTGTCACTAGGGTAAAATCAAACGATCTCTCCTAGGAGATATCTCTGCAATGAATCGCTTTTCAGACCATTTGATGTCATCAGTTACCATGACGTCACAGTCAAATGACATCACTAATCTCTCTGCCATGGAAGCCCGTCAGCTGTACATTTTACACACAGGACACAGCTTAGTACTGACGGCAAATTGAAAAACGTTGAAGAATGATGAAGGACAAATAGAATCTCACCCTTGTGTCTCTTGATATCATATATATAAATACTCATACATAAACTTTTTTTTAAAATCTGGCAAGCTTGAGTTTTATACTTTTATGGACTCGTTTTGATATATGTACTTTCCAAAGACACTTGGGTGAGACTGTGGATGTATTCTTGCAGCTGGTGAACTGTGTGTTGCGATGGGTTCGTAACCGTGACAGCAGCTTCCACGGTCTACTGTCTGGGTTTGTCGCAGGATGGTCCATGCTGTGGTACAAGAGTTCAACCATCGCCCTCTACACCGCCACCAAGATGGCCGAGGTACGCCAGGGGCTCAGGGTTAATACAAGCTGACATTGAAAGCATCATTGTCGTAACAGAACTCTGGATATTTAGAAGTCAAACATGGGATAATCCCAGTTAATGTTTTTTGTCATGTGAATAGCATTACAAGGTATACATGGATTTATCTAGACCTTTTCAGAGGCGGGTATCAGATCCATGTCTGCAGTGAATGTCAGTAGAAATTCCTAAATTGACATTAATATTTTCCCAATCGAATTAATATGGTTATAATTGGTGTGATAGCTTGGTCAAGGCGGCTTGTATTTCCCTTATAACAGGACCAATAAAGCGAAAGAGGCTTCCATTTTAATTTTAACGTATTGCATGGAATTCAATAATTAAATACAATGTTAATATATCTCTTAAATTAAGAAAATAAGAACTTTAAAAAATACCAATTTTGAACATTTTTTTCCCAATTTTCCCAAAGTCACTTAGTTTTTAATCCAAGATAAATTCCTGTTATAAAAAGCTGTTGTTGAAGGTCCCGTGGAGGTTCTTAATTGGAGGGGGGTTTCAAGGGGATGGAGGAGATTGTTGTTTTTTTTGTTTTTTTTGTTTTTTCATAATTTGTTTATTTGCATGACAATATATTCAAAGAAATAAAGCATGACAACTTGACCAAAGCTTATTAATGTCTTATTTTTAATCTTTATTACAATTATTGACGAAAGTATGCTTTGTTAACTTATAAAATTCAGTGAGCTCCTTCTGTATCAACTGTTATGTTGGTGGATAGTTATTATTTCTTAAGCTGAAAATGATTCGTTTTGATAAAATAATGATAAGGTTTAAAGGATTGTTATTTTTCGAGAAATTACCAAAAAGAACATTTTCTTTGGATATTTTTTACCAGGTTTTGCGTTTTGTGCGATATCCAAATTTCCATGTGTACTATGTGGAGAATTGACTGCACGTATTGCCTTGATGCCTGGAGCTTGTATGTGTGTACAAGGAAGTTATGTTGCAGATGCTGTACTTCAAGGGGATCGATGCTGGTTATCTCCCTTACATCAAGTGTGCCGATGTTCTCATCTACTCCGTGTCCACTGCTGTTGCCTTTCATGCTGTGAGTTATGGCTGTAGGAACAAGTCATTGTTGTCATAAGAAGTCATTGTTGTCATTTTTGTCATTGTTGTCATTTTTGTCATTAGAAGTCAATGTTGTCATCAGAAGTCATTGTTGTCATTTTTGTCATTGTTGTCATTTTTATCATTGTTGTCATTTTTGTCATTGTCATTTTTATCATGGTTGTCATTTTTGTCTTTAGAAGTCATTGTTGTCATTAGAAGTCATTGTTGACATTTGAAATCATTGTTGTCATAAGAAGTCATTGTTGACATTTGAAGTCATTGTTGACATTTGAAGTCATTGTTGACATTTGAAATCATTGTTGTCATAAGAAGTCATTGTTGACATTTGAAGTCATTTTTGTCATTAGAAGTCATTGATGTCATGAGAAGCTGTTGTCATTAGAAGTCATTGGTGTCATTAAGTGTGTCAACAAACTTGTGAATGGTTTTAATAAGTTCCCTCATTTGTCAACTTTCTATTTGCCCAGGGTCCACTCTCACAAAGGGATCTTAGCACGACTGCCTTAAGTCTGTGTTAAAGTATGAAAGTTTACGGCTTTGTGCAAATGCAACTTTTTATGGTGAATACAATGTATCAGGCAAACTAATGTTGTTAGTTAGAAGTATGATTTAACCCAAATCCTCATTAACTCTGCATGTCTTGCAGATATTTCCCTCCCCAGCTGTTTCGTGACCCTGTGTAAATGTGTGTTTTTGTGTAGGCTGTGCTGGAACCCCATACGCTGCGGCCAGCATACTGGAAGTTCCTGATACGGGTCACCCACGAAAAGTAAGTTCACTCACTCATGCTGCACAATGAGAGTAGGTAAGACATCCGCCCCTATCCCCCCTAAAATATATGTAATCAAAAGGATTGAGCGCCAATGCGTACATATATGAATTGTGGAGGGGGATACGGGCAGAAGTCTTTCTGAGAGTAATACAACATTCACTCACTCATGAGGGGGCATCTGTTATTCACAGTACAGAGTTGTCTCCCTTAGTTGGATCTGCTGATCGTTGTTTTTGATCTCATATTTGTTCTTATTGGCAGCTTCGTGAAATGGGACTGCTTTTAGGTTTTGTTGAAATTTGACCACCACCACTGCCAGTGATGTTTCTAATGCCTACTACGTGACATTAGAGATAATTTTTCCAAGGATTTCTTCCAAGAGGCCCTGACCCGTGAAGATTCCGGGGTAGAAAAGGTCTTCAGCAACCCATGCTTGCCGTAAAAGGCGACTATGCTGGTCGTAAAAGGCGACTAACGGGATCGGTGGTCAGGCTCGCTGACTTGGTTGATACATGTCATCGATCCCAATTGCGTGGATCGATGCTCAGGATATCAATCACTGGATTGTCTGGTCCAGACTCGATTATTTACAGACCGCCGTCATATAGGAATATTGCTGAGCGCAGCGTTAAACAACAAACCAACCAAATCCAAGAGGCCCTGGGGAATTTTTGGCACATGTCATGGCAAAAGGTCAAAGATCAAGGTTGCAAGATGGAAAAACTCACAAAATAAGTTTCTGGTTACACTTTCTAAAGACATACTCATGAAATAAACTGCTATAATGAGGGTTGTGGCGTCACACAGACGTTGTAAATAAGCAGGTGATGGCTTGATTGATTTTAAGATAAAGTTGTCAAGTTGTCAAGTGAGTGACATGTTTTTCAGTTGTTCTTATGACTTTTCAATCCCTCATTTGTGTTGTCCAAGTTAAACCATCAGTAATGTGTTTGTCAATGTTCACAGATTCCGCCATATGAACCGGAGACTGCTGGATGTGTTTGGGGTCCAGTCCTCCCTGATGTTCCCGGACGACTGGCCGAACTATGACCCCAGGTTCACAAACATCACACCTCCCAGTTGATGATTGAACCCCACAGACTCACGTAGTGGGATTGTATTAACATAGGAATTGATATATCAGGACAATGTTTCACATCAACGTTGACACATCAGGACACCATATGACATGCAGTCACATTAAGACACCAATATTTGACGTGTCGAATCACTATCGACATCAGGGGACGGCAATGTCACTCAAGAAGCCATTGTTTACACGTATCGATGCATGTTTTCAACAGGTGTCGACACATCTAGAAGTCAATGTTAACAAGTTTCAATGCATTGAGAGGCCAATGTTTTCAACAGGTGTCGACACATCTAGAAGTCAATGTTAACAAGTTTCATTTCATTGAGAGGCCAATGTTTTCAACGGGAATCTAGAAGCCATTGTTTGGCTATTGACTACTTTGCCACCAGCAGATTAATAATTATACCTTTTTTTATGTTTTGTTACCGATTCTACCATTTCCATTGCACATTACTCCTTCTCTGCTTTTCGTATCTAAGTTATTCTTTGGTTCTTTTATAATAATTAATGCTGTTTTTATTTAGTGCCTATGATTATAAATAATATAATTTAATAATTACACAATATGTATTATCTCCTATGCATTGTACTAAGACAGACAGCTCTGTTTGAAACTCTATTTAGAACATGAATCTGTACAATACCTGTGCCTTTGAATTAATGACAGCTAGATCTTATGGTAAACCCGACTTATATATATATGCTGACAGAATAGAATTAGGGAACTCGGATCAATATGGCAGAAGAAAGTTTGCTCAGGAGGGATGTTTCATATGAGATAGGTGAAAGGTGTTGGGTTTGCCGGCTATGTTCTTAAGCAACCTCAAGTTATCTTCAGGGTACATAGAGATGTCATAGGTCATCACGTTTCTCTGTAACTTTTTTAACATGGAGATTTAGCATCAGGACCTGCCATGTTCGTGCCATAATACCTACCTACCGGAGTGCATCGTATTATCATAATTGGTCACAATAACTGTAGGACGTAATATGTAAGAGCACTTGAGCTGTGAAGTTCTTTAACGAACCTGGCCAGTTGTTTATGGTGGCACAATTACCTATGCAGAGTTGTGTCCCTTAGGTACACCAGGAACCTGTTATCGTGGATTCGAGTGAGTATGGTTTTACGACGCTTTTAGCAATATTCCAGCAATATCACGGCAGGGGACACCAGAAATGTGCTTCACACATTGTACAAATGTCGGGTATCAAACCCGGGTGTTCGGCGTGACGAGCAAACACTTTAACCAATAGGCCACCCGACCGCCTCATGGAATCGAATCCTGGTTCACTCTGATGTATGTTCCTCGGTTTGTCAGTGCCAATACCTGTGCTTGTGGGCTTTGCCAAAGTAGTAAATGTTTAAGACCTGCATCTGTTCTTCCCACATCAAGCTGACACTTCAAAGCAGCCTTAAACCAGACTCACTCACTGTTCAAAAATATTTAGGAAACAATGAGGCATGAGTGCAGTGAGTTTACCACATCGGTGCATCAGGAGGCAATTGGTATTTAATCTGTCCCTGTAACCAGGGAATTGGTTGTAACGATACAATTTGTCGCAGGATGGATCTCAATAGTGAGGATAGATACATGATACCCTATGGGAACATTTTACACATGTGGTGTTGAGTGTTCTCATCATTAAAGAAAGTAGATCGAGAGGACACAAACAAATGAAGTCAACAGTCAGTCAGGGCAGGTGTAGTCAGGGCAGGTGTAGTCAGGGCAGGTGTATTCAGGGCAGGTGTATTCAGGGCAGGTGTATTCAGGGCAGGTGTATTCAGTGTAGGTGTAGTCAGGGCAGGTGTATTCAGGGCAGGTGTATTCAGGGCAGGTGTAGTCAGGGCAGGTGTAGTCAGGGCAGGTGTAGTCAGTGTAGGTGTATTCAGTGTAGGTGTATTCAGTGTAGGTGTAGTCAGGGCAGGTGTAGTCAGGGCAGGTGTAGTCAGGGCAGGTGTAGTCAGTGTAGGTGTATTCAGTGTAGGTGTAGTCAGGGCAGGTGTAGTCAGGGCAGGTGTAGTCAGGGCAGGTGTAGTCAGTGTAGGTGTAGTCAGTGTAGGTGTATTCAGGGCAGGTGTAGTCAGGGCAGGTGTAGTCAGGGCAGGTGTAGTCAGTGTAGGTGTATTCAGTGTAGGTGTAGTCAGGGCAGGTGTAGTCAGGGCAGGTGTAGTCAGGGCAGGTGTATTCAGTGTAGGTGAAGTCAGGGCAGGTGTAGTCAGGGCAGGTGTAGTCAGGGCAGGTGTATTGGGTGCAGGTGTAAACAGGACAGGTGTAGTCAGGGCAGGTGTATTGGGTGCAGGTGTATTGGGTGCAGGTGTAGTCAGTGTAGGTGTAGTCAGGGCAGGTGTAGTCAGGGCAGGTGTATTGGGTGCAGGTGTAAACAGGACAGGTGTAGTCAGGGCAGGTGTAAACAGGACAGGTGTAGTCAGGGCAGGTGTAGTCAGGGCAGGTGTATTCAGTGTAGGTGTATTCAGGGCAGATGTATTCAGTGTAGGTGTAGTCAGGGCAGGTGTAGTCAGGGCAGGTGTATTGGGTGCAGGTGTAAACAGGACAGGTGTAGTCAGGGCAGGTGTAAACAGGACAGGTGTAGTCAGGGCAGGTGTAGTCAGGGCAGGTGTAGTCAGGGCAGGTGTAAACAGGACAGGTGTATTCAGGGCAGGTGTAGTCAGGGCAGGTGTATTGGGTGCAGGTGTAAACAGGACAGGTGTATTCAGGGAGCCATATTTGCCACATCGACAGATGTCCTTCACAAAGATCAACAAGTTATTTTGCCAAATTCCTACTGCCAAGTATTTGTTTCTTATTCTGTAGTGTTTGTTATTCTGTAGTGTTTGTTATTCTGTAGTGTTTGTGGGTATGTCAGAGTGTAGTGGAACTGTTGTGTTGCTGGATGTTATTGCCTGTGGTTATTGGGGTACTCTATGTGTATGCTTGTTAATACTTTTCGGAACACCTTAACCAATATTTGTGTCAGCTTATGACCTAACTAAATGATTTGTGAATGAGTGTTGTAATGATTACTTTACACCACAATCGCGGCCATTGTGAAAATTATTTTTATCCATTACTGCATGTTTCAGATATCTACAAGCAGGGTAAAGTGCACTTCAACTGTCCTGTCGGGGTTAGAGGCCCATCTCCAAGCACCAGCCCTCCCCTATTTTGTTGCATGTCATAAAAAAATACCCACTGAATTCCATAGAAATTCTAATCATGGCCATCATGCCAGCCATATTTAATTGTAATTATTTCTGTAACTCCCCTTCCCCTTCCCCTTCCCCTTCCCCTTCCCCTGCCCCCATAACGCTAATAATACTGTATCATCAACAGCTCCTTGAAAGTTGAAATTCGGCTTCTGGGTCCTAAGCAGTAGTGTCTTATAAAAAATGTTATTTTTTTCTAATAACTTGTTATAAATAATTTCCTATATAGAAATGTTGAAACTATTTTAAATATACTGTGACTATGTTCGTCTGGAGTCCCTGCTTTCCAGGCTTATTTTGGAACGAGAAGACATGTACAAAGGGACACAACTCTTACTCTTATTTTACAGACCGCCGTCATAAAGCTGGAATATTGCTGAGTGCGGCGTTAAACAACAAACAAACAAACAAACAAACAAAACAAAAAACTTACTCGTGGTTCTATTATCTTGAAATTTGTTTATCTGGGTTGTTGACAGAAAATGGTACGGTCACAAATAATGTGGACTGTATGTCTCTCCTACTTACTCTGGTCCCTCTAACTGTAACTGTGAGGAGAACTTATCCCAGGAAAGGAACACAGGCTGGTGGTTTGATGGCTTCCAGTACCGTTGGTCTAGCTTTCTAAGTGAGTGAGGACACCTTCACGCCGTTGTATGCAATATGCCCGCAATATCACAGCAGGGGAACACTAGAAATGGGCTTCACACCTTGTAGGTTTCTAAGACATGAGTTCAAATCCAACCACACTGCTTAAGGTCTTCCACCTGTGTCAATCAGGGATTTCCTTACACATCGCATGACTTACTGTTAAATTACTGGAATCCTGAGGCATTGACCTCACTCACTCACTCACTCACTCACTCACTCACTTCCTATACATTTCTGTTTGATTCATTTGTTATAAATCTCTTTCTCACATAGGTATGTTACTTTACTTATTAACAGCGGCAGTAGTTGTGTTTCATGTAGGCCTGGGACGAGTCCAAATTTGCTACCTGGGTACAAACCACCCTATTATCTGACCCTACCCAGGTACCCAGGAGATAGGTACAAAATGTCCAATGGGAAGAGTTTGACTGTACTCCTGTCAAAATGTATTTAGATACACGTATAAACCGATCTGGTCATGCTTACACTGAAGTAGACTGAAGTTTTATCTTTTTGCAAATATATAAAGATCGGAAGGAATGACAGAAAGAAATTTGAATTTGTCACTTATTCTGGATAATTTTTGCCATTATACAATATAACCATGTGACTAACCACGGGGCCGTGTAGTCCTGCGGGTACCCGGATCCTACTCATTCCCCCTCCCGACCCGAGTTACCCGACCCGAGTTACCCGACCCGAGTTACCCCGACCCAAGTTACCCGACCCGAGTTACCCAACCCGAGGTACCCGACCCGAGTTACCCGTCCTGAGTTACCCGACCCGAGGTACCCGACCCGAGGTACCCGACCCGAGGTACCCGACCCGAGTTACCCGTCCCGAGTTACCCGACCCGCGTTACCCGTCCCAGCCCTACTGTTATGAAAGATACATTGTTGTACGTGATGTTTATTTTTGTGTTTTCATGAAGTCAAAACATTGTAAGATATTGATTTTTATATATCCTTTTTGAAGTATTTACCTACCAACCTGTCACGTCTCTCTGACCTTGTGTATTGTTACTGCTGTTTTGGTATTGCTGAGATCTGTGATGTCACATTGGGCCCACAGAGTCACTGATTGCTTAACATCACCTTCTGAATGTGTATATAGTACTTATATTGTGGACCCATGAAGATCCAGGGTAGAATAGGTCTTCAGCAACCCATTCTTGCTGTAAAAGGCGAATATACTTGTCGTAAGAGGCAACTAACAGGATCGGGTGGTTAGACTCGCTGACTTGGTTGAGGCATGTCATTGTATCCCAATTGCGTGGATCGATGCTCATGATTTCAATCACTGGATTGTCTGGTCCAGATTCGATTATTTACAGACCGCAGTCACATAGCTGGAATTTTGCTGAGTGCGGCGTTAAACAACCGACCAACCAACCTTTTATTGTGTATTAAAAGATATGATATTTATACAGTTTTGTAGGCATTGCTGGTGTACCTTGATGAGCAGGTACTATGAAATAGTTGTGCTGTCTTGTTTTGTGGATGTTGACCACGACCATATGTAGTTTTGTTAAAAGTAGTGTCTCTAGATCATGTAGGCACATAGCTTTGAGATTAGTGGTTTATTTATTGTCTTTATTGTGATTTTATTTGGGGTGAAGCGATACATTGGTGCACTGGTGCATCGTGACATTTCATGTGACACGATACACGGTATGTTTTTTCTGTATCGATACAAGACGATACACTTGCTGAAATAAATTTCTACTCGTTAAATTACCTCTGGTGTTTTTGTCAGTCAGCTATTGCAAAATGTGTTGTAATTTGCGTTTGAAGTTCACTACTAAAAATAGCCGCTACGAACATGTGTTGACAGCTAGCTTTTCCTTTTGAACCTGCTCTGAGATATTTATTGTCAAGAAGATTCCATGTGATTTGATGTAAATATGCGTATCACGATACGTATCGTATCATGACCTTGCTGTATCGTTTCACCCCCAGTGTTTATATATTCGACAACATGCAAGGATGTGGCACAATAGCAGCACAATATTTCTCCTATGTGTCGAGGTGTTAGTGTGGTGGTGGGGTGAAAGGGGGTTTAATGTCGCGTTCAGAATTATTGCACTTATGTGGCGACGTGCATACACGTGTCTGTGTGTGTGTGAAGCTAGTTGTACTACTTGCACTTTCTCTGTTTTCATAGTGCTAGCCCACTGAGATACCATACCGCAATTTAATTTTACTCCACAGAGACAAGTATTTGTTTTATCCCCTTAATGCTGAGTGCCAGAGAAGGCAACAACAAGTACCATCTATTGACTTTGTGAAGTTGTGAGGGTTAACCTGTATGTTAACCTGTATGTTAACCCTCTGTATGTCATGTCAAACCTCCTTTCATGCTGAACCTCAATGGGTTTTTTTCTCTTTGTGTGTCACTGTGTGGTCAATATGCTGAGAATCATGATTTGATTGTTTTTTTGTTATTAGCATCACACTCAACAACAATCTAACTATATGACAGTCAAATGAATACTGTAATCTGGATCAGACAATGCAGTGATTGACATAATGAGCATCAATCTATACAATTTGGATATGATGACATGCCAATCTCATTAAAATCAGATCTTAGTTCTCGCTATCGCTAAACAAAGGTCTGAGGACATCCCATTACAGGTCACTTCAGAACGACCTTCATCCGACCAATCAAAGCATCGCTTACCAGATCATGAAAGTGACAGACGGAATATTTTTTCTCATCATGTAACCTTGAAAATGTTAGCACGGGGGCAAAAACAAACAGTTACGGCCCTTTAGACTGATTCCGTCAAAATTATCATCTATCTCTCGCTTCCGTGGGATAAGCACTGCTACACAATCTCAACCATATATTAGACGTTCCGGAATGTTTGTTTGTTCAGTTTTCAAATTTTTAATCAAGAACTGTGTCAAAATATTTTTCAAGTGTAGTCTGAAATGGAAGTCGCCAGGTTGAAACGAGTGCAGGAGAGCTTGAGAAAGCTGTTTTCTAATTAGCTGATGTCGACTTCTTCTTAGTCATTTCAGTGGTCGTTCAAAGTTCGTGAAGGGTTGTTCTAACATGTTCTGACCTGTAATGGGATGTCCTCAGATCTTTGTTTAGCAGCAGCAAGAACTTAGATCTGATTTTAATTAGATTGTATGACATGCATACTGATCATATAAGTCGCCTCTGTCAACAACAGAAGACCAATTCTGGCCCAAAGGGGCAGAGAATGATGAGGCAAAATGAAACAAATGTTGTCAGGGTTGATCTTATGTTAATTTTCTTCAAGAATCAAATAGAATATTTTCATTTTTTAACTCAATTTTAACTCAAAATTACAACATAGAAAGCATAAGGACTCAAAGGTCAAAAAAGGCTCCAAGGTCACAGAAAGCTCCACACACAAATATTATCTCTACAACCGACATAGATACTTTAATGTAGACTTGTGAGGGTGAGAGTAATACTACAGTCATTTAGTTAAGATTACTTTGTGAAACGTGGTTGAAAAGTGTCAAGTACAATCTAACACCAAGTTGAAGGGAGCTACAGAAATACTTCTAGTTATC